CACATTAAAAGAAAAAAAAGGAAGAATTTGAGATGCTTTGCATTAGCACTGTATTAGAGATTGTAAGATCGTTATTTATTAAATCATTGAAAATGTTAAATCATTTTAAAAACTTGATGTATTATTGCTAATAAAACATGTTTAATTTTTAAGTACTAAAACGACTAAACCTACAATTAAAATAAGGCTTTTGAATAATTATATTTATTATTTGCTTTTAATTTATTTACTTTATAGCCAATTTAGCTAGAAATATTATTATAATTACCAATGGTATCATACCTTTTATTTAATAGCTTATAACTTACTACCACAGCGTTTATCAATCATTTATAATGTATATACATTATAAATGATTATGAAGATGATGTGTGTGTGTGTGTTGGGTTTTATTCTACACTTTCAGGTTGTTTTTAGATATTTCTTTATAGTTTTGTTTTTATTTTTACTCTTTTTTTTAATTTTTTTTTTACAATTTTAGTTGGAATTATTACACTGTCCTCATGTGTACTTAATAATTGACTTTTGATTGGTCAGTCACAACATATTAAAGTATGTTATTTCAAAATAACAACCATTGGAACTAATAACACAAGTTCATTTAGGTAATTTGGTAAAGTTTAGATTGGGTACGGCTGCGGATACATCATATAGCATTATTTTTGTGACACTGTATAACAATAATTAATATTTTCATAGTACTGTGACAGTTGGGGAGATGGGGTGGGGGTAGACATTAAATAAAATACAATTTATTTGGTAATTTAATAAATAAAATTAGTAATGTTCGGTACGATTACTGTTCTTACATTGCTGTGACGGTTGGGTTTAGGTTTGGGGTAGACGTTAAAATAGTACAATTAGTGGGAAATTTAATAAATAATATAAATAATTTTAGTTAACTTCCCGCCACAAATATATCCGATCTAGCAACAACCGGGTAATTCAGATCATCTTGACTGTCAGTGAATATGTTCATTCCATATAGCTTCTTCCCACTACTGTTCTTGACTGTTTGGCACCATCTTGTGACTGAATGATATGTTGGTTAATGTAAGCTACATTCGGGCGTATTTTTCCTTCTTCAAGCTTTACGTTTAGCTTAAGAATTAGTAAATGATTACATCAATTGATAACTTTTGTTTCAAGTTTTAAAGGGGTGGTCCACTACGATGTCATATTTTAAACTTTAGTTGATGTGCAATGTAGATGAACAAACAACATCTCTTAATGCAATACGCTCAATGTTCAATGCAAAGATAGACTTAGCTCAGAGTTAGCTTAGCATAGCCTACAGCAAACAAATTTGGGGACTACATAAAAATAAATCCGGGCTAGTAAGATCATAAACGCTTCAGGTTACACTCATTAACCATGCGTATACACCCTGCACAGCAATGGGACGTGGCCAGAGGCGCTGTAATGTTATAGAAGAGAAAGCTAAAATGCTGTCTAAACGTTGCTATTTACACAGAGCTTCTAAAGGACACGACACAAAAAGAGAAGTGCTTACAGTTTAATTTTGATTATGTTCCAGAGAATTATAATAAATACATAGCTAGCATTTGACAAAGGAGACCTTCCAGAATCTCTCCCTGTTCAGTACTGCATTTGGCTAAAAACTCCTCCAACTTACGAAGCAGTGGGCTACGGGCTACAACCTGTAAGTGTTTTTAATGGTTAAAATGTATATTACATGCACAGTTTTTAGCGTTAATGGTATGCTGTAGAAGGAAGTAAACAAGGGTGTAAACAACAAGGGGTGAGCTTTTTTTATGTCGCTATGCAATGACTAAATCAGCTGCGTATTGTGCGAAAGTGTTGCTGTTGATATTAGTATAATTTTAATATTTTATAATATTGCGATAATCAAGATTTGTGAAGTCATACAGCTCCAGATAACTCAAAACAGCAACCCCAAGTCTCTCCTCCATCTTCAAAAGTCTCTGTTGTTGTCTGGACAACACAAACACAGCAGGCGCCTCAACGGAAACCCCGCCTCTGCTTTCCTTTGATTGTAGAACGAAAAAGACGCGAGTGACGTAACGCGCTTTATATGTTCAGTTTACTTTTTTCAACTGCATGCGCACGGCGCGCAAGGGCAAAAATGCAAGGTGCATCAGGCGGTTAAAATACGAGGCGCACAGGGTGCATATATAAGCAGCACGTAAAAAGCTGGGTGTGATCGGCCCCTAATGCTTGTGCTTATAGGGGCGTGACGTGGAGCCAATCCGCGAATCCCAGTACATTATATTAACTGACCAATCAGAGCCTCTTGAGGGTGGGAACTAAGAAATATGACAGTCGTTTTCATGTTAGCAGAGTAGCTGTGTATAATCAAAGTACATAAAAAAAAATAATGTGATTTTTCTACAAGTAAAGCATGAGCACACATTGCTTTGCATCTTATAAACACAACTAAGCCTTAAAAATACACTGTGGACCACCCGTTAAAGTAAAGTGGGAAAATGCAGCCCATATTTAGGTGATTGTTTTCATAGGATTAGCATTAAGGTTGGGTCCTGACTGGCTTATTAGCAGCCTGACCCAACATTATGACTTTATATAACTAAATTACAATAAAAGATTGTATAATAGATAATAATCAAAACATTTATGCAATGAAACCTGCCTAGAAAGAAGAAAAAAATGAGCAGTCAGGAAAACTACCATGTGGAGAAAGCTATAAAGATTATAACAAGAGAACTGCACCTTTTAATGATTGCCGCAGTTTCTCCATTCTTTTTTTGCAACAGGCCTTCATTTTGACATGGAAAAAAATAAACGGAGACAAGATATTTTAAACTGCTTTAGCATGGGCAGACTTTAACAGCACATTCAGTACAGCATTCAGAAACCAGCACACAAGGTTCTGGCTCTCAATGTTATGTTCGAAGTTTTGAAATGTGAGAAAAGTGGAGGAAGCAATTTTCATTCTAATGAATCATCAGCACGAGGAGCTCCGCCGCATGTTGGTTATCAGCGATTCGCTCAGACGACTCTGCTCACTCACAAATCAAACACATTATTTTCATTGCACACCGCCATATTTATTGCCAATTAAAAGAGGCCCATCTGCAAAAGGCAGAGAGATGAAAAAAACGAGGGAGAGACAGACAGACAGAAAGGCCTGATGAATATTAATGTTGCGTGTTACAGACCTCCAGGAACACAACTTGCATCCATCCATCATGACCAAAACAATATGCTTCTTCCAGAAATACTCGGCCTGAACTGCAAAGCTGGCAAACAGGATACACTTAATATCAAGGAGAAAGCCTGTTATATATGGACATTCATACTGGATAGCTTTCAGTATGTTTCTTTTGGGTTTGTATGGATCATAGCCTACCAAACAAATACAGTATTGTTTTAACCACAATGCATATCTTCTAAGCCTGTGGTCTATCTTTGGTAAGACTTTATAATAATAGTTAATTAATTATTCGTAAAGCATTGACTACATTGATGGATATTACACTTAAAAAAAATTATCAGACCCCTTAGCCAGGGGGGTTGGGGTGGTTCGAAAGGCCCACCACTCACTGACAATGGTCCAGAATTTGTCCCGTACATGAGCTCATTTGTGTTATTTTCTGCTAGTGCTACACCATCATAAATAATGAAAATAATGCAAAGGCTTTAAGACCAAGCCAATTCCTCTGTTGGCTGTCGCTTTGTGACCTCAGCTAATCAGTTTTGGCCAATGCCAACAAATATATATATATTTTTTTACAGTCTGACATAAGAGAAGTCATCTTTCGCTACTGCATTGTTTTCAAACAGAGAAACATTTTACAAGTAACTTTTATTTCAAATCTTTGAGCTTATTCTTAAAACAGAAAATGACCAAATCAGCAGTATTAAATGACCAATGATTAAATTAAATGACCAAAGCAGATTGTATTAAAATTGATTTAAATACTATTTTGCCGATTGTTGTTATCCATGAATTTTCAAATATACATTTTTTTTTTTTTTACAAGAGAGGATAACAAAAAATTGTAAAGCTCTACATTATTTTTTTCTTTCAAATGGTCAAATTCTGACAGAGTAAAGTTGAATTTGCTGGGCAGTTTGTTATTTGCCTAATAAATGTGAACGGGCTACAGTTTTTAAAATTAAAACTTGAACAGATTCCTCTATTTTTCTAATGATATAAGATGTAATAAATATTTAAAAAATAAGTATTATTTTTCATCACTCTAAATCATTAGGAAAGATTTTTGGTATATCAAAAAGTGTGTTACTGATGACCATCCAAAAAGCTAATCCAGCTAAAAATACTGTCTAAAATGTCACTATGCAGTATTTAAATCTCCCAATTAAATATGAAATAGAAAATGAGGCGTAACTGCAAAAAGGTTCCCTTTTTTTGCGACAAAAGAACCACCTCTTTCACCAGGCTGGCTACAGGCCTGATTATGTTTGCATCTTGTTCAAACTACTTATTCAAAATGAACTGAAACAACACAATTCTTGAGTTTTTTAAGATCATTTACAAAGAGTAAGTAAACGATCAACAAACTATACAAATTAACATATACATACATACATATATATATATATATATATATATATATATATATATATATATATATATATATATATTCATATTCAATAGGTCCTCGTACTACAGGAATTGCTGAAGGTGCAGCTGTCGTACAGTGAGGGGTTTGCATCTTTAATAATCTACTACAGTTTGTGTTCATTGAACAGTAAGATTGATCAATAAATCCATATGAAACAGTCCCTTAAGAGTCTTGTCTTCAGTTTCAGGCTCAGGCGCGATTTGCACTCACAGAAGCTGGCCAACTGAACCGTGCCTGAGCCCAAATCAGAGCACTCACACTTCTCAAACAATCTGGGAAATGGGCCTGGGCACAGTTCGGATAGCATAGTGTGAGTATCCCCTTATATTCATGATGTCAAAATTAAAAAAAAAAAAAAACCTTCAAATCATTTCACAATTTTACTTTTTTTTTTTTTTTTTTACTCTATTTTTTCATCAAATAAACACAATTAAACTGGCCCCAAACTGTTATAGTACAGATTTTCATACCTTACCACTAAGAAGTCAATGACACCTGAAGAAAGTTGTCCATTGACGTTCCCAATCACGACAGCAGCTGGTCAGTCACTGGTGAAGGTCAACAATATTGTGCTAACCATGTACACCTGTTTAGAAGTTCTGGTACATATAGTACCCAAAACAACAATTAAGAAAATTAACAATTTTAACATCATAATACAGCTCTAAACAATTGACGTCAATATTTGGAACTTAATTTAGTACTTTGCAGCCAAAACATATCACTAAAAATGCATTATGATAAGTTACATTTACATTTGACATTTTTGATTTGACAAGACGCTTCCAAAGCCGATCCAAAGACGATCCAAAGCCTTGCACATCTCATTTTATCAGTTCTTGCTTCCACTAGGTTTTGAACCAGTGTCTTTGATATTGCAAGTCCCATGCTTTACTGTTTGAGTTAAAGGCACAGAAAAACAAAAATTCGCAAAAATCTATACACTTTTGAAATGCAGTAATACACGTCCAGTCAAACTACAGTACAACTACAAAAACACTACCAAACCTTGCGAAGAGTAGAATAACTTAAAAAAACAACAAAGCAGATAAATATACTCAGTATTAAGATCGATACTCTTTGATTGAGTTTTCTTTTTGAAACAACGTAGCTGTTTACAGAAATACAGATGTTTTCTTCCACTGAGTTCATACTTTCAAACAAGGAAAAGTCATTCAGTGAAATCTTCATAAGAAAATCTCACATCGTTGACATGAACCTAGATGCTCACCGCCATTTGTCATTGTTCAGAGCAAAGCAAGAGAAAATGTCACTTGTCTGATCCTGAGAGGGTCTTTCAGCCCTTTTTTTGTAACTGTCCAGTCGGTCAGGCAGAATCTAAGCTTTTCCTTAGTAAATAAGAGCCCTGTACAAATATTACAAATGGGTACACATTTGCTTCCTCTTCTATTTTAAAGGTACAGCAAGTCATTTCATGGTTTTGTTTGAGAAAGCATTCAAATACTATTGTGTTTGAAGTATGCATGCAGCATGTATAGTTTGGCTTTATGTATATGTAAAATAGCCTAAATGTAGAGTTCTCAACCATATTACTAGAGGAATCCCAGCTCTGCACATTTTTCATGTCTCCTTAACCAAACAAAACTGATTAGGATCATCAGCTCATTAGCAGAGACTGAAAGAACTGTAATGGCTGTGACAGACAAAGGAGACATCCAAAACATGCAGTGCTGGTGGTCCTCACGAATTGTGGTTGAGAAACACTGGTCTACACCATTTTACAGAATTCGGTTTTCTATAATGCAATACTTTACCTCCTTTTGAATCATTTTAATGTTATTTTTTATGTCAAATGCCATGTTACATGTTAAAAACACTGTATTCCAATAACAGAAATACACTCACCAAGTTTAAGAGTTAACTACTGCTCAAAGATTAGTTCGAAATGTAATAAAATCTTTTGGACAAATGCACACTCAAAGAGTGCAATAGTTTACAATTAAAAATAACAACTTTCTAATTAAATACGTCTTAAAATCTATTTTAGTTCTGCAATGCTCACACATCAAGCAACTTGGAGGAAGCAGAGCTTGAAGGTATACTAACAATGGCTTATCATTAGCATTTTAGTGATCATTTTTTCCACAGTTGGCATTAAGAAGGAACATAGAAACATTATCTGACCAACATCTAGCAGCTAAATGTGTCTGGAAAAATATCCAAAGGCTTGTGAAACTGTTTGAATGTTCTGATTGGCTGGAGTTGATGTCTCACGTCATCGAGTTCTAAGAGTGAACGCACTCTTTCTGGCAATTATCCTTCTGCGTTCACACAGAGCAGTCTTACAACTTCTCTTTTCTGGAAAATTGTTGTAACGAATTTACCGGTATTTTCAAAATAGGCCCGTTCACACACCCAGACCATTCCTGATAATTGCAGGTAATTTTCCGGAAAGGTCTGTGTGTGTGAAAGGGGCTAACGTCTCATCCTTATCATCAGTTTTATGATGGTTTGCTGCTAGGGGGTTAAATGTTATTTCATTAGAAGCATGAAATACCTCAATAAAAATACAATACAACGAATTTCACCTCGAACAAATGAACTCCTGCAGCTTTATTTTTTATAATTTCACTTCAGTTCAGTTTTTGCTTTTTAAAAACGTCAATGTTCTCCTTCAAATTACTGTTAGGATTTTTAAAAACTATTTAAAAAATTAACTGCGCAGTTTCTATATTTCATGTGTTTTAATTTCATTTCTTTTTTTGCACGTGCATGTGAAATATGAACACATAGTAGAAATTAAATTTGGAAAATGTAATATTAACATGAGCTATATTAAAAGAAAAGTACTGCAGCAGATCATTCTTTAAGCATATGTGTTGTTTAAGTCATGCGCTGTCTGTGTTCTGAGCATTTTGAGTCGTGCACCAGTGAGCACATGCTCCCTGTACCTGCAAAGCACATTTGTGGAAACACTGAACATGTTATCACTTTGCATCGATATCCATAAATTCGATAAGAAAATGACTTGGTGTACCTTTAAATATCTGGCTGTGACTACTGATCAAGGATGCGACAGTAAGACTCGAAAGAAACTCGTTCTTCTTTTTCTAATAGTAATAACAATAACGTCTATATCAGCTCATCGGCATGGAGCATAGACTAAAATAATTAGTTCTCTACTGTCCCGGTGTGTGTCGAGGTGCCCGTGCTCTCGCCCGCTGCTCTCCCCCGGCTGTTAACCGCCATTTTGGTGTCATTCCCTTGAGTTTCTTCCTCTTCCTGTCCGCCACGCACCACACCTTTTCACAGTACTGCTCCACCCGCTGGAAGTTGCTGTATCCGATGAGCTGCATGAAGTCTTTATACCAGAGCTTTGATGAAGTAGAAGGCAAGCTGGGAAAGGAGCATGGTGGAGCTGCTCTGTGTGGAAGATCACTATCCTCCTCCTCGGGTTTATGCAGCAGAGCCTCCACCTTTCCCTCCTCCAGCACCTCTAACGTGACTCTCAGCAGCGTCTGGATGAAACCATGCTCGGTGGACTGACACACATAAACTCCTGCATCTGACTTCATTATTCGGAGGAGTAAGAGGCCGTGCGGCGTCTGAATCATGCGATCATCACTTTTCACCTGAGAGAGGAAAAACAGGGGGACAAAACTGTCAAATGTGGTGCGTTTAGGTTTGGTTGTTGGTCACTAATGTGTATATGTATGGCTGTTAGTGTGTTCTGGCTGATTGCTAGTAGGGCTGCACGATATTGGAAAAATTTAACATTGCAATATTTTGTTGTTATGCGATATATTTTGCGATGTAAATACAAATTTACTAGATGACTCTAATATCTCCTATATTTGGAAAGAATAAAAAATTTTAGATTGACTGGGGTGACTGTGGGGGCAGTGCAATTCAATTAAAGAGTGTTTTATTAATTGTTTTCCGTGTCTAACAGTATTGAGTTACAGCAATTGAATAATAAAAAAATATTTCACTAACATTAACCATTATTTAAGTTATAAATGGTACAATTTCTTATGCCTGACAGCTTTGCTATGCATTATAGGTTTCAAAAACACATGCAAATTATCAATTTAAAACAAACTCAACATTGCGAATTATGACAATGCGATATTGATGATTAAAATTTTATATTGTGCAGCTCTAGATAATAATAATAATAATATTAATAATGCAACGGCAGCCATATAGCGCCAGATCGCACACCAGCTGATTGGTGGAGAGGAGGCAGCGATAAAGCTAATTATGATAAGAGGATGGTTAGAAGGCCATGATGGACAGATTTGCAAATTTGGCCAGGATGCTGGGGTTAAACCCCTACTCTTTTTCGAAGGACATCCTTAGATTTTTAACGACCACAGAAAGCCAGGACCTCGGTTTAATGTCTCATTCGAAAGATGGCAATCACTGAAAAGTATAGAGTCCACATCAATATACTGGGGCGTTAGGACCTAGGGGAGATGCTAGGGTGTTTTGGGATGGCCTATGTCCATATAAATAGACAATAGTGAATCCTAAATTGCGTACTTACTCACGAGGAAACCTAACTATTTCATGTTATGTCCGTCTAGTAGCTAATATGTACAAATTTATAAGTTAGGTCATACAAAATTATACGATTTTTAAAAGGAGACATGGCAACTAATCCCACCCCTAAACCCAACTTTAATGGGAGATGTGCAAATTGTACTAAATATATTAATTGAGATCAAACAAATTTATACAAATTAACTTCTATAATAAAAAGTTACAAACTGCCATGATAGCATTTCGATATCCTACACCATGAGATGGCGGCGCCTTCGCTGGGTGTGGCTGCACCGGCTCAGAACAAGACCATTACAACTATTATAACAAATGGTGAAATAGGTATTTGAGTATTATCTATATCTATATTAATATATTATATTAAGTATACTATAAAGTTATTCTCTTCAGAGATTTTTTAAATTGGGTTATATTTTATACAACTATATTTTTATATATTTATGAAATTATAAAAGCTTATTTATTATGTTAGAATTTTATTGTGCTTGTGTAGGGATTTTTTTAATGTTCTTGTTGGGTCTGATGGTATGTAATTTCGTTCTGCATTACAATTTTTGATGTTTTGAATGACAAAATAAAGGATTCTGAAGACTAAAACTGAAATCATTTTGTAGTATAAACAGAGAAAGTATAAGTGCACATTAAATACTTGGATGATGCACAAATTCAACTGATAAAAAGAAGTGTTGAATGTTGAACACTTCATGCACTTAACAGTCACAGCTTTCCTCATGTAGCGGAAGGCGAGGAACTATCAGGTGCTAAAGTTGGATTCCTTCATTTATTTGGGGTTGTGAAAGCAAATTTGTCTCATGGAGATGATTACACCACCTCCTGATGAAAAATGTAGTTGTATTACAGGTAGTTTGTTTCACTAATTTATTTGGAAACCTTGAAATGTCGAAATGGAAAATTGTTTGAATTTCCAGTTAATGAATAAACTACTAAATTTTACTAAAATCACACAACATGGTTAAGTGTTTAAGTGCATAGCGTGTCATTTGAGATACAACAAAATAATGTTATTTAATATATATGCTAACAATAAGCATGTTCAATTATTAAAAAACAATATTGAATGAAAAAATTACTTGTTATTTTGAGAACATACAGAATAATATACAATAATACTCGCTATTGTCAATTTAAATTTTTCCCCTTTTTTGTGGAAAACTACTGCATAATAATACTGCATCCACCAAGTTGCCATTTATTGTTTGCAGTAGACACTTTTCCTCATATAACATTACATATATTTGTCATATATCAAATATGCAACTAAAAATTCATTTAAAGTCAATTGTACAAAGGTAAATGACGGAAGTTTGTGTCCCATTTAAACCATATCTGTCACGATTACCAGCGATCATTTACCCTAAAGATCGCTGGTTTGCACCTACAATAACCATGGACTACAAATCCGCCTTCTTTTGGACTACATATGCATACATGCACTTATCCCAGACACTCACGCCTGCTCACTCAAAGTAGCATTACGACGCGTTTTCCTTGTCTTGTTTTCCTGTGTTTTAAACCTAGCCTTGTTTATTCAGTTATCCTTGTCTGCCGCCTGCCTTTCGACCTCTTGCTTGTTATATTGACTACGATTCTGGATTGTCCTCACACACCTGTTTGCACCCGTACTGACCACTGCTTGCCTGACTGTGAATAAACCTGCATATTGGATCTTTCCTCAGTTGTTGGTGTTACTCCCCGAAGTTACAATATCATGAAATAGAAATGAATGAATAGTGTTTTATTAAAGCTATTCAATGCACACAAATGGTGTTGTTTTTTGTGTTCATTGCCATATATATTATGTACAGTTAGGAGTGTTGAGATATGATAAAATATCACGAGTCATAAATATGGTGTTAATTAAGACTCATACTATCTTGGTTCTGGCAAAAAACACAATATTTAAAAAACAAATTGCATATACAATAATAAGACATGTCAAAATCATCCAGTGCCAAAACTACAGCATTTTATCATGCGTTGGTGTGAAAGCTAATATAGCTATAATTACTTTACAGCCGGCGTTCCTGGTGTAAATGTAACTTAATACTAGACTTCTCAAAAACCCAGATAATTTGAATAATAATTATGAACAATGTGTCAAAATGTACAACGTTCAGGAGTCTAATCCCTAACCACAAATGAGAGAACAGTGATCGTAATAGTGGCCTCAGCTCATACTGCTAATATAACAATGTCATTCCTGAAAGTAATACAGCGCATTTCTGCAGAGAGACGGTCAACCTGACACAGCCCATGTCATTACTCTTCTCTATTTAAGATGAACAGAAGCACAGTGGGCTGTATTACCCAGCATCCCCTATGGTCAGGATAGTAAAATGAAGCTTTAATCTATATTTAACAGCCGTCTCTCAGCAGGGCTTCACACAATTGCTTGTGATGAAATCGTTTCTGAGTTTGACCACATGAAGAGATCACAAATGCAGAAACAGTTGGGGAAAAGAGGTTTAAGAAATGTGCAAATATTGAAATGATTGTACTATTAATATTAAATAAACACACATCTATATATGCACAATATATATGTAAATGACATGGGGAAGAAACAATATCAATGCATAACATAAAATTAATTAATACTGAATGTTTAGTATTTTATTTTAGGCATTGGGTTAGTATGCATAATATAATATAATATAATATAATATAATATAATATAATATAATATAATATAATATAATATAATATAATATAATATAATAATAGTTTTATATGACAATTATATGATTTACATATATATTTTATGTATCCATTAGAGATGCTTTAAATTGTTAGCATTTTAATGTAATGTAAGGTAAGGTAAGGTAACTTACATAACGTAACATAACATAACAGCTTTATTTGACAATTATATGATTTACATATGTATTTCATATATCCTTTAGGGATGCTTTTAATTATTAGCATTTTAATATAATGTAATGTAACAATGTAACATAACGTAACATGACACGACATAACATAATACATGTTATATTTAACAATAACATAGGTCTATGGTTATGAATTGTGGATGTGTGTGTGCATGTGAGTGTTTACCTCCTCCATGTCGAGGCCATGTTCAATGTACCAGGTTACAGATGCCTGCAGTGATCGTGGTCTGCACTCCAGTAAAGTACTATTGTTCTCCACACCGTAAACCAGCTTCTCTGAGATGCTTTGTTCTTCTGGAAGGCAAACACCCACATAACCAACAGCCCAGACCAACACAGACATTATTCACCACTACAACAGAGACAAATCCTGCTGCACAATTCTGATTTTTAACATTGTATTTCCATGTATACAGCAAGTCCTCCTTGCTAGACATAATCTAAAAATGCAGCACAGATTGTGGAGCACACACACGAAATTATGTTTGCATTCCAATTTGCTCAAATAACAAAAGAAAAACTCACAACTTTAAGGAAAAGTAAAACAAAAAAAGACTTGTAACAGCAGCTAAAAGAGAGAATAATGCCACACTTACTTTCCCACCTAAGGCAAGGCAAGGCAAGGCAAGGCAAGTTTATTTATATAGCATCATTTCATACACAGTGGCAATTCAAAGTGCTTTACATAAACAAGAATAAAAGAAACAAGTAAAATAAAAATAAAAACAAATAATAAAAATGCGTAAAAACAAAACAAAACATAAAAACAGGTAAAATGTGATATAAAAGAATGAAGAAGAAGAGAAAAACATGATAGTGCAATTTGTCGGACGCAGCACAGTGCTCATTCAGTAAAGGCACAGCTAAACAGATGTGTTTTCAGTCTTGATTTGAATGTGCCTAATGTTGGAGCACATCTGATCATTTCTGGAAGCTGATTCCAGCAGCGGGGGGCATAGTGGCTAAAAGCCGATTCACCCTGCTTTGACTGAACTCTTGGAACTTCTAGTATATATGATCCTAAAGATCTGAGTGATCTGTTAGGTTTGTATTCAAGGCTGCACAATATATAATTTCACCATCGGTATTGCAATAGTCACATTGCAGTATCCACAATGTTGAGTAGAGATTATAGTCGATTACAGTTGATCAACAATGAGGACTGTACATTGTTATTTTACATTTTACATCACATTTGATTATTCACTTAATGTACCTGAATATCTGACAACTGTTCGACTCTTCGGAAAACCATAAAACACTACTTATTTTCCCTTTATCTTTGCTCTCTTATTTATTTATGCTTGCAATTTGTTCGATACACTCTGCTACAAGAGTATTCCAATCAATCTAAATAAATCTAAATCTAAATAATAAATAAAATGTAAAGATCCATTTGCAATGGAGCTATTTAAGTCATCCGCTGAAATTGTATTTGTATCGCAATATACAATTAGGTCCATAAATTTTGGACATTGATACAATTCTAACATTTTTGGCCCTATACACCAACACAATCAATTTAAAATGAAACAAACAAGATGTTTTAACTGCAGACTGTCAGCTTTAATTTGAGGGTATTTGCATCCAAATCAGATGAATGCTGTAGGAATTACAACATGTTGCATATGTGCCTCCCACTTGTTTAGGGTCCAAAAGTAATTGGACAGTTGACTTTTAAGCTGTTCCATGGCCAGGTATATGTTATTGCCTCATTATCCCAATTACAATGAGCAGATAAAAGGTCCAGAGTTCATTTCAAGTGTGCTATTTGCGTTTGGATTCTGGAGGACCACAGAAAAAAATTTTGGTGGACGACCAAAGAATTCTTTCCTGGTAAAGAAAACACCCTTCACAACAGTTCTGAAGTTTCAGGCAATATTTTCTGCTCATATTAAGCCAAATGCTTCAGAACTCATTGGATAGTGCTTCATAGTGCAGACATAACCAAAAAGTTTTTGAAGGGAAATAAGTGGAATGCTATGCAATGGCCAAGTCAATCACCTGACCTGAATCCGATTCAGCTTGTCTTTCACTTGCTGAAAACAAAACTGAAGGGAACATGCCCCAAGAACAGACAGGACATTTAAAGACATTTGCTGTAGAGGCCTGAAAGAGCACCACCTGGAATGAAACTCAGTGTTTGGTGATGCGTTCCAGACTTTAAGCTGTAATTGACTGCAAAGGATTTGCAACCAAGTATTAAAAAGGGAAATTTTGATTCATGATTATTATTCAGTCCAATTACTTTTGGACCCTTAACAAGTGGGAGGCACATATGCAAACTGTTGTAACTCCTAAACCATTCACCTGATTTAGATGTAGATACCCTCAAATTGAAGCTGACAATCTGCAGTGTATGGAGCCAAAAATGTTAGAATTGTGTCGATGTCCAAATATTTATGGACCTAACTTCATATCGCAAAAACCATAGACGCTGCAAAAGAAACACCTCAAATAGGGTTTAACCTATTTTGTAATTTGATGCAAGTATTATATAATACATTGTATAGCTTTATAAATAGTATAATATCTTTTGATAATGACACATCAGCACTGTCTTAAGAAAATGATCGAATGGATCTGGTTTGAAATTAAGCTAAAAACTCTCTGGGGGAAAAAGAAAGAATAATATGCTTATAATAAAAGTGAACTGTCATACTGTATTGTAATACACTGTGATGATTTTCTGCCAAAGTAAAAGCACCATCTGCACATAACGCGCCAGAGACTCTCATCAACTGCACTGTGACCTCCTCAACTTTCACAGATCTCATTTTCTCCAATAAAGCCTCTAAGACTCAACTATCCCCCATTGATCAGCCTCTGAACGTACCGCTAAGCTGAAGCCCGTTGCACTGCTGAACCGCATTGCCATGACGAACGTCTTGCCGTCTGAAGCGCCTGAAGAAGAAGAAAAGAGAGAAATGAGACATTGACATAACCCAGACACAAACCCGTTCATCTGCCTGTGATCGTCATTTCATCCTCCTGCCACCCAGCGAGTGTAGCAGCATAGCGAGGCGACAGAAATTCAATCACACTTGCTCTGCTTTTTGTCTGGATTTCTGTGAGTTATGAGTCTGACAGGTATTTGGTGCCGATTGTGCATGACTCGTCTGGCTTTGCATACAAAACCGAATGTGATGGGAATTAATATGGGTGAGAAGTGTTAGCATCAATCGCTAACAAGCTCAAACTGATGACCACACTGAGGCAGCTGACAGGCCTTTGAGTCGGGATTAGAGAAACACTCCCACTCGTGCTTCGCTCTCACTCGCGCACACACACACACACACACATCCACCCACACATGCTAGCCTGCGGATAAGTGAAACATCAAAAGAGCTTTCACAAAAACACACACTCTCCACGTTCACTGAGCGCACTAATGGAAACACTAGGCTGGAAAACAAACTAGGTTTTGGAGCACATGGATATTTTCATGCGATAAAACTTTAAACCTAAAGAAAGGGGCTAAAATAAAATCTCATGGTTACGTAATGGGATAGTTTACAAACATAAAACAAAAATTGGAGTTACTTTTATTTTTCTAGACATTAAAGAAGAGTTATAGCTGAAATTGTGTCCCTTGGTAATTCATAAAATACAGATCATTGGCTACTTGCACTTTGAGGGTCAAAACATGTATTGTCAGAATTAAAGGAGATAATTTTGTAAATAAATGTTTAGTTTCTTACACGGACCAATCATTCAGATTTACAAGACTTCAAATCAACAGAAGACGCAATTATTAGTGTTTTTTGCCTGTATATGATTAATCGATCACACTTTACAATAAGGTTTCATTAGTTGATGATTAGCTGTTAGTTAATGTAATTACTAAAGTGAACTAATAATGAGCAATACTAAAATCCACAGTCATGCTTGTTAACATTAGCTAATGCGCTAGCAATAAACAACTTTGATTCCATTAACTAACATTAACAAAGATGAATCAATACTGTAATAAATGTATTGTCCATGTTATTAAATACTGTACATTAACTAATGGAAGCTTATTCTAAAGTGTTACCAATTATTCTGATCTTCTGATTACACTCTTTTATTTATATTGGCTTATAAATTTAATAATTTATATTAAATTATTTATATTTTCCTCTTAACTTTTACTTTTTAAACTCATTGTTCAATGTTGTTGAATTACATGGCAAAATAATCTTATTATTTTTATTTCTTAATTTGTTTAAAAAAAAAAGAATTTATAAAAAAAATATATATATATATATATTTCTTTTTTTTTTTACCTATTTTTTTACCTATATTTCCGTTTAACGGAGAGAAGATTTTTTTTAACACATTTTTAAACATATTAGTTTTAATAACCCATCTTTAATAACCGATTTATTTCTTCTTTGTCATAATGACAGAAAATAATATTTTACTAGATATTTTTCAAGACACTTATATACAGCTTAAAATGACATTTTAAGGCTTAACTAGCTTAAAGGGGCTAATAATTTTGACCTTAAAATGTTTTTAAAAAATTTTTTAACTCGCGTTTATTCAATCAGAAATAAAACAACTAAGACTTTCTCAAGAAGAAAAAATATTATCAGACATACTGTGAACATTTTCTTGCTCTGTTAAGCAAAACACACACACACACACACAAACACACAAACACACACACACACACACACACACACACACACACACACACACACACACACACACACACACACACACACACACACACACACACACACACACACACACACCTTTTTCCTTGCCATAGCTTCTTCTGACTGTTCACTGTGGTTATTAATACTTTTAAATTAACTCTAGAACTACAGTCATTTTGGTCATTTTGACCTTATTTACATTTTGTAAATTAAAAGCTAGAAAACAAAAAAACCCATATACTATTGTACACTGACTTTTGCTAAACATTTGTATATTTCAAAACATAGATGAGTTCTAGGTATTTCTACATTTAATAGACATAATGGTCATGCATTTGACAGCATGCATTTCAGCATCCGCTACATTTTCCTGTTTTTTTGAATATGCATGCCACTGAATATGCAACATTTTACTGCAGTGAACAAAGTGAGGTATACACCAATAACTTGAGTATTTTGGTATTTTTAGCCTAATGACTTCACAAAATATGATGAGAGACATTTAAAGCTTAATTTTAAAATCACTGTCTTATATATACCCATTCTAAAAGGTAAAAAATCCTGGTAGTTCCAGTGTTAATTAACAATTTCTGTTATTTCCTATTTTATTTCTTCCTCACAAAAAAATAAAAAAGACAACAACAACAACAAATTAATCTGACCTTAAACTATAACAATAATAAAACTCTCTCTCTCTCTCTCTCTCTCTCTCTCACTTTTATTTTGACTTCTATTGTTATCATTTGTAAGTAACTCTAGATAAAACAATGCCAAATGATGAGATGAATGTAAATGTTCTGTAAAGCATACCAGTGCAACAATGTGTAGTGTGAAAAGTCATGTACAAACACAACTAAAATAATCAGTATTATATTTAATACATAAAATCTGTCATATATTGTCTGTACCTTTTAGTATAAAGTCCTGCAGGATAGTAGCGTGAACATGTGAACCCATCCCAGGCACAGTAAGGGTCTCTGGCCAGGCAGCAGTCGGCACAGGCTGACCCATAGAGCCCACACTGATGCACACGGATCTGTGTTACACCCAACTCCGAGCCCACATACAGCTGTTGCTATAAATACACAAACACACCGCTTTCAGATGAGGACCACTGTGTCCAAACCAGCACCTTAATATGATAATAAAGTAAATAAAATCATCCTGGTGTTCATTACAAACAATTTAGTATAATACAGCAATAATGAAGAACAAAAGATGCTCATATTTTATTCATAATATTTAGTAGTCATTCTCAGCATTAATAATTCACAACAAAGCATCTGTCTGGATATAAAAATGCTGAATTTGCTATGGGTGGTCACTCGTGCATGAAAAATGTACTCAATTCCACCATCTACAGGTGGAGAATGAAGCTGTGAGCAGTAAATGAGCAAGTCTTACTCGTTTAGTAGAGATCAGGATCTCAGTAATGGGAACAGGGACCTAAAATAAAGAAGAAAGAGAAAAATGATTAGAGTGAAGATTGTTTCGAGTTGAAATAAGATGGTTCAATACAAAGAGAAAAAAGATGACCTTAAAAACCTGCAGTTCCTCCAGAAGAACCTCTTCAACTGTGTCGGCTTCTTTGTTGTAGATTGTAATCATTTTTAATACTACAGAATTATCTGTGTCGAAAACAAAGAGAGAAAATCTGAATTAATAATTATATGCATTTTATATTACGCATATTATCATCATCATCAGCCATATTATCGCAAAAACACTCGCCGGCCACTTTATTAGGTACCACTGTTAAAAATTGCTCGTTATCGTAAATTTCTAATTAACCGATCACATGTTAGCAACTCAATGAATTTAGGCATGTAGACATGGTCAAGACGATCTGCTGCAGTTCAAATCGAGCATTAGAATGGGGAAGAGAAGTGATTTAGGAGAGTTTTAACATGGTATAGTTGTTGGTGCCAGACAGGCTGGTCTGAGTGTTTTAGAAACTGCTGATCTACTGGGATTTTCATACACAACCATCTGTAGGTTTTACAGAGAATGGTTCAACAATGAGAAAATATCCAGTGAGTGGCAGTTTTGTGGACACAAATGCCTTGTTGATGCCAGAGGTCAGAGGAGAATGGCCAGACTGGTTCAAGCTGATAGAAAGTCAACATTAACTTTGTAACAGTAACTGTACTCAAATGGCCTCCACAGTCACCAGATGTCAATGAAATACAGCACCTTTGGGATGTGGTAGAACAGGAGATTCACATCATGGCTGTGCAGTCAACAAATCTGCAGCAACTGTGTGATGCTATCATGTCAATATGGACCAAAATCTCTGAGGAATGTTTCCAGTACCTTGTTGAATCTATACCACAAAGAATTAAGGCAATTTTGAAGACAAAATGGTACTTTTGCCTTCCCGGTACTTAAAGGTGTACCTAAAAAAGTGGCCAATGAGTGTTTATAGGCATATTACAATATGTATTTATTTTGTTTTTAGTCAATTATGCTCACCAAGTCAACATTTATTTGACCAAAAATAGAGTAAAAAAGTAATAATGTAAAATATTATTACAGAATTAAAAATAACTGGTTTCTCTTTTAAATTGTGATGTATTCCTGTGATTAAAGTATGTTTTTTTGCATCATTACTCCAGTCTTGAGTGTTGCGCAATCCTTCTGAAATCATTTTATTTTACTGATTCTTTATAACACTGTAAACAGTTTTCTGTTTAATATTTTTTGGTACATTTTAAAATTCTTGGATAAATATAAAGATCAAAAGAGAAGAATTGATACGAAATATAAAGATTTTGTAATAATATACTATAACTTCTTCGCCTTTTTAGTTATTTAAATGCACCACTGCTGTGCTGAATAAGAGTGTAAAATTCCTTTTAAAATTACAGTAGTGTATATTTGCTAAAATATATCAATCATCAACTTTTTAAAAATATACTAGCACACAAAGTCGAGAACAAATATTTCAAGAGGGTTCTAGACTAGAACTCAAAGCATGTAAAATATTCATTGTATTTTGCAAATAAAAAAAAGGACATAATGATGTGTAATACGACTCTACACATCTGGGAGTACAACATAATATAGATAATAATTTTGAGGTGGCTCAGTGATTAGCACTGTCACCTTAGAGCAAGGTCACTGGTTTGAGTCTCGGCTGGGTCAGTTGACATTTCTGTGTGGAGTTTGCATGATCTCCCCATGTGTGTGTGGGTTTCCTCTAGGTGCTCCGTTTCCCCCACAGTCCAACGACATGCTTTACAGGTGAACATAATAGACTAAATTGGCTGTAGTGTATGTGTGTGAATGAGAGTGTATGGATGTTTCCCAGTCCTGGGTTGCAGCCGGAAGAGCATCCGCTGTGTAAAACATAAGTTGGTGGTTTATTCTGCTTTGGCGACCACTGATGAATAAAGGGATAAGCCAAAGAAAAATGAAAATGAATGAATGAATAATTTTGAGTACCAGTGCCTATGAAGAGAACATTGTAGTGTCCATCCTCAGCCTCCACCCGGTCCACTGCCAGCTGGGTGAGTTTACGTCCTCCTTCAGTGTCCAGCAGGATGGGTCGTCTGTGAACAGGCTGCACCGCCTGGAACATGAGCGGATGGGAACGTGCAAATCGGAGAACCTCATCCGAATACTCCTTAGAGCTGGAGAAATGGCCTCCATTTATCTTACTGGCACACTGCGAGAGACATGAAGGTCATATTTGTTTGAGATTCAGCCAATATGAATATCTGAACATGGACAGATATTAATACATTTAAAAAAGAAAAAAAAATCTAGACTTCTGCATTCCTTTTTTACTGAATAAATGAATCGAGATAGATTTTGTATGAATTTATTAATAATTTTTTTCCTGGTTGTATTTTAATGCAGGTATCTTGGCTGGTTTAGGCCTGTCATGGATAAAATAAATGGCACTAAAACAGGCAGTAGATGGCAGCAAATGCTTGTTTTATTGAGTGATTCACTAAATCATGAATTCAAAAGATTCATTCTAAAAAGCTAAGTGAAGTTTCATAAACTAATTTCGAGAGGAGCACATGATGTGATTGACTGCAGCTGGTCTCTCATCTACAATCATTAGTTAGCCAATCAGATTAATCCAAACTCACTATAAGTAGCCTAGCTTAAACTACTCCCCTATTTCCGTTTTCCAAAGAAACCCTCATCCACCCCTTCTCCCCCTTTCTTCCTTTACCACGGGGAACTCTCGAGAACTACCTGATCTCAAACTCCCCTTACATGCTCAATCGACTAGGTGGGATTATATCCGAGCTCAGCGTTCTCTCCCGGGACAGCATGCTGCTATCATTTGTCAATCAATATAAGTGTGAACTCCTGAATTCATTAATAAATAAAGTATTTATATTCATGAATAGATAATCGAATAATTGGCTTAAATGATTCATTCAAACAGAAGCTTCATTTAGAAACACATCGTGACAGTGAATCACTGACTCAAATGATTAGTTCAAAAATTAATTCTGTATTTGTTTGAAACTATTGGTGCAGTAGTGAAATAAATACACAAATAAGTAGTGCCTGAAATGTAACTCAGTATTAACTTTGCTCGTATGATATGAATATCACATTTGCAACTGCGCTCACATGCTGATACTTAGAAAAACATCACTCTTGCTTCAAGACATGTTTTTATAGACAACTATGATTTAAGCATAGATGACAAATATTTCATAACTATTATATTAGCAAAGACAGCAAATATTGCAGACTCCTAGTATTTTTATATTGTAAAAAATGAGTAGTTACTTAATTGTGAGTAAACCAGTTGCCTTAAAAGTGAAAAGTTGACTTTACTAGTAAATTCTTAATAAAAAACTTAAATTTGAATATTTATGCCCATTGTTCAGTTGCTTAATTGTAAAGCAATAAAATCAAGTTTGTAATCAAGTGTAATTATTTTTTCTTATAACATTGTTATTAATGTCTAATGGTTTTTTGTATGTAACTCTAATGATATTGTATGTGTAATAATGTGTGGGGGCAACTGATGAAAATTAGCCCTTGGAACTAACTCTTGCTTATTAACACCTTTTTTCCTATTGATTAATGAGTATCCCCTGTTAAATTAATAAACAAATAAAAAAATAAATAAACACATAAAACATAAATAAATAAATAAATAAAGTATGTTTACTCGCTTGTGTTTTTTATGTTCAAGTAAAGTCAACTAATCAATTTAAAATCAACAGGTTTACTCATTTTTTTAAAGTAAAGTCAACTAATCACTTTTTCCAGTGTATATGCTAAAATACTATGCAAGGCACAAAAGGTTTCAGGTGTTTCATTTTGTTCCTCCTGATCTGAGAACAGCTTGCCTGTTTCTCACAGCTATAACCTTTTAGAACAAGAGACTAATCAGAAATCCAGCAGTGCACGTCTTAAGCCACCAAATTGGCTTTTAAAAGGTCATTTCTCAGATACACCTTTTTTCATATGCTTTACCCTAGAATAACTGCACACAGAAATAAAAGAATGGGTAATTTTGAGATGAGAACAATGTAAAAAAAACCCTGATTCTCCAATATGAGATGAGACAAAAACACACTAGAGAAAAAACTGGCTGTAAATTGCAGGTCATTACTAACTATTGGAAACCAATCTCGCTCTTTTATCGGCTGGGGATAAAGAGCGAGAGAAGGACGTTAATCAGCACGTATCAGATACAATTATAATTCAAACCACGACAATTTGAACACCTCAATTTCACAGTGCTTTCATAAGTGCTCGGTTTCAGACATTAATGTAAAAGAATTGGCATGACGTGCTCGAGGAGAAAAGTGATGTGCACAGTCATGCTGAAAATAGACTTGTCTGCCATGAGAGATTCTGTGTGTCTGAAGAGATAAGATCCCAAATTCAACATTCACTCAAGTGGGCCACAGAATAACACCGGGCGTTTGAGGCATAAACCTAACACGACGTGACATTTTGTACACAGGGAATTCTGATAGAACAACAAGATTATGACACAATGTGACTGATGGACCCAGTATATGGAGAGGGCTCTGGATGCAGACCTGGTGCAGTGCAATCTGAGCTGCATCCAATGCTTTTTTTTATGTGCTCACCTAACCCCACCCCTTACAGTGACATCACTACCTCCATTGAGTGCATTGTGTCTGACTTTGCATCACTGAGATATGCAGTCTCATTTTGCATCACCAAGGCTGCATCCAGATACTATTGAATATGAGGAAATATCACTCACCGATCCGGGTCGAGGGTATGGGACTTTGCCGTCGTACACTTTCCAGTGATGGTCGGTCCGTTCCCGGTGTGCAAAAGGCCCATTAAATGCAGCACGGATGTCATCCATATTATACATGCACACTGCATATCCTTTAAACACAGCACTGGGGGAAAAGGAAGATGGATTTGAGCATCTAGAGTGCTGTCAGTGATTTTGATCTTAACTGTGGGAATAATATATATATTTTTTTCTGTTGAATGACCTCACCTGGTGGTGCTGAACAGACCAAAGATCTCTGGATTTTTCTCATCTTTTTTCCGTAGTACAAACACATCCTCTGAAACGCAACAGAGACAAAAAAAAAAAAAATTAAAAAATAAAAAAGTTGAAAATAAAATAAAATTATACAAATTAAAATTTAAATTAAAATAAAATGAAATAAAATTTAATTTAAAAATAAATTAAATTAAAATAATAAAATATAAAAAATAATCTTAATCCCTAATATTGTGTAACATTATGGAAGAGCAACAATAAGTAAATAATTAAATTGAAGTGATTTAAAATTAATATTTAAAGTATTAATATAAAGTATAATAAAAAGTATCATTTGGCAATATATTTGCAATATCTTTAATATTTTACATGACAGAGACCAAAAAAGTTGAAAGTAAAGTTAAATTAAATAAAACATTTAATTAAAATAAAAAATAAAAATACAATAATAAATAAATTTATATATTTTTTTATTTAATTTAAAAATAAATAAATAAATAATACAATTAAATGAAAAATTAAATACAAAAAAAATAAATTTAAATAAATAAAAATTAAATTAAACAATTACAAAAAAATAATAATCTTGATCCTTAATATTGTGTATCATTACGGAAGAGCTTAATAACTAAATATTTTAATTGAAGTGCCTCTTGAGATTTAAAATGAATTTAATTATTATTTGGCAACATATTTGCAATATTTTTAATCAATACAATCAGTGTATCTTTTACACACTAAAAATGCTGGGTTGTTTCCTGTCAAATTTGGGTAAGATATGGACAAACCTAACCAATGGGCTCATTTTTAAATGTTTTCAAATGAGAATCAGTTAAAGTACAAACATTTTGCACTCATCTTTATAATCTTTATCTCCAATAATCTTGTGGACAAATTGGTTGCTTAAGCGAATATTGATGTAGAAATGAATGAGCTTTCATCTGAAAGTCAAACAACCCTCAAAGAGATCCTTCACAAGACTACAAAGTTCAGTAAAGATGAAACACATCTAGATTTTCAGATCACACCACAGTCTTATACACACTGTGATAACTACTGCGAAGACATGGAGATCTATTGCAAAATGGTCTGGATGGACAGATGTATGGATGAATACGTGATGAAATCTCTACAGTGGAAGGCAAAATGTGAAATGAAAAAAACTGATTCATCAGCAGTCTTGCTCTGAGGGATCTGATGAATAAAATCACTGTGCTGGAAGAAATGAATCATCACTGAAGCTAAAACTGCAGTTTTTCTTCTTCCTTTGCCATTGTGGCTATTTTGGTCAAGCAGGCCTCTTGATTTATCCTTCAGTGCTTTACAGATACTGCTGAGAGCATGACAGTGACCTCCAGTCCTCAGTATATCACCAATGCAAGAGCTAGGCTATATAGTTTATTGCACACTACTGGAAAAATATGCAACATTGTTATGTTTTTTTTGTTTGTTTTTAAGTATGTATATGGTATTTCTTAAATACTGCAATAGGGTCATTCTTCAACTACGGGCACTTTTTGTCAGGGTTCTGCCACTCTGGTCTTGTAAATTCTTGTTTTGGTGGCAGAGTCCGGACACTAACTCTGTTTAGTCCTGTAGTGCTTGGCTCGAGTTTTCTTGGGTCGAGCACTTGTTTTGTCGTGTGTCTGTGTCTCTGTATGAGCGCCATTTGTGAATGCGCATGGACTGTGCTTGACGCGGGCGCGTGAGGTCTTTGCATGTTTGCAGGTGCGTGCTCCTGTCCGGGTCTTTACGTTCGTCTGTCTGCAGCGTGATGTTTCTTTCCCAGCGTCTCAGTCTTGTTGGTTTCGTTTGCCCTGGGATGAAACATGCACGCTGTGTGTTTGAGTGCACAGTAAGTTTTTTTTTATTCATTGTGTACTCGTGTCTTGCGTTCAGTCTTCTGTTGGCGTTGTTTAGCACGTGGTGCGCGTTTACATGCACCGCATGCTTGTGTTGTCATGAACACGCGGTTAATGAGTTCATTGGCTGCGTGTTCTTGCCTTGTTTTATGTGAGCGCATGGCTTGTGTTGTCTCTTTGTGTCATGTGCTCGCCCGTCTATTGTCTGGTCCCACTCTCCTCGTTAACCCATTATTATTAATTGTGTTCATCTGTTTGTGTGTTACTTTATGTCTTATTGTGTCCAGCCCTGCTTTGTCCTGCCAGCACAGTAGAGTTTCTTTTTACCTTTTATTCATGTTTTCCCCCTCGGGGTAGTTTGTTTTTCCCTTCCTGTTTGATTTTAACAAATAATTTTGTCTGCAATTGGGTCCTCGCTCCCTCATCCTTCCTGATCCGTGATACTTTTATCCTTGTGAAGTTGAGTAAAAAAACTAGTTTAAAATTAACGTAACAGTTTAACCGTAATTTAAACTTTTTTAAAAGTAAACTCATTTAAACGTAACAAGTTTAAATAATTTGTCTAGTTTTAAGATCCGTAAGAGGACAAACTTGGATAAGAAGAGAAAAAAAAATTCCATCATACAAATGTCAATTCCAGCACACCCTTAATATACAGCTTTTATTTCAAAATGAAATAAATTATGACAGTCAAACATGGTCTAAGATCATTTTTGTATCTAGTTTAACCAATCTTTCCACAATATATAATAATTATACATTTGCCAATTAAATAAATTAGTTGTACGGTGAATTGTACACCTGTCACACTCTAAAATTTAATATTAATTTGGTTAAGAGCTTTAGAAAATAAATAAACTAAATTTGTATATTAAATAGAGCATGAACTTATACGTTGTAAATACACTTTTAATGTGTGACGAGAACTTTTTAAATATTTTTTAAAAATGTGTGTGCTGATAACAATGACATTTCAACCGTTTATTGTAAAAATAGCTTCACCGATTAGCTTTGAATCAATAATAGCCTTTCATGTATACAAAACACTCTTATTTACCTTAATTTTGCTTGGTTTTTAAAAACATCTTTGAAGGTACAACATGACGTAGAATACATGTATTTACTTATCAATTAATATTTACCGTGAATTTTTCTTCAAGTGTTGTTGATAAAAAAATTTAATTCCCTCCATCTTGAACATGCTCTCAGATGGCACTATTAATTTTCATAGAAACCACCTAAATAATCTTTCACACAAACTTTTTAAAGCGACAGCTATATTTTGTATAAAAAATAATATTGATAATAGTCTCACATTAATAGCTATAGAAAATATTTAAATTATTTCACAAGTGCTTAATTAAGATATATTAATAGAAACCAGATAAATATTTTAAAATGTTATTTTCATTGTTGAAGTTTTAAACTCTGGGTGTGCAACAAGGTGAAAACAATGATTTTGACACCTAAAAGGAGGTTGAATAATATGAAAAATATATAATAGAAAGGTAGAATATGATCAAAGGACATAAAAGTGCCCGTAGTTGAAGAATTACCCAATAATGATATTTCTTATAATCTAAAATTTCCCTAGAAAAAAAGCTTTTTTTTATAATTCAATTATAAAATGATCATACTAAAATAAAGACAAAATAAATATATGTTTCCGATTCAATTAAATCTAATTTAGGCTAAACCAATGTTAAGGTGCAAACATTTAGACTTTAAAAAACTATTTATTTTAAGCTCGCTGCTCTGAAGCACTTAGGCCAGCCTTTGGACTGTCTAGCCAATAGCATATCAGCGCCTACTGGGAAGGCAGGTATAAAGTCAATAAAGCAAGCAAGCAAGGCCCCTATCTGATTGGTCAATGTTGGTTAAAATACTAATGCAGGTTAAACACAAATAGTTTAATAAATTAAATATATCCCACTTCTCTTCGATACATATATTGCATATAACATTATTGCAATAACAATAATTTTTCTATATATTGTGCAACCTTAATGCTTTTAGTTATTTTTATTAGTTTGCACAATTGAATTTTACATCAGTATGGTTATCAGTGTGTCAAATTTAAGTAATATGATATTTTCTTGTCAAATAAATAAACATAATTCATATATTTAGTATTTTAGTTGTATACTGTGATTAGTAAAATTGAACAGAATGCTGTAAATTATTGACCTTATTCTTGACATGGAAGCAGGCACAGCAATTGGAATCTTTTTGGCTCAAGATTTTTACTTTTAGACGTTAAAAATAACTCATTCTGCTGCTTCATGTTGAAAACTGACCTTATATTATCCTCCTTTGCATGTATAGTCGAACACACTTATTTGTGAAGCAAGCGGTTAGACTGTTTTCTGCCTTTTATTTTTGCTAGTCATTTCTCCCATAGGTGTCTGAATCAGACGTTCTAAAACAATCGCAAAATCAGGTGCACTTCAGAGTTTAAAAAAAAAGGTCAATATACTGTTAGTAAACTAATATATAAAGGAAGACATACATATAGTGGAAAATTATATAGCAGGGGTGGCCAACCCTGCTCCTGGAGAGCCACCTTCCTGCAGATTTCAGTAGCAACCCATATCAAACACACCTGCCTGTAATTATCACGTGGTGTTCAGGTCCTAATTAATTGGTTCAGGTGTGTTTGATATGGGTAGCAACTGAAATCTGCAGGAAGGTGGCTCTCCAGGAACAGGGTTGGCCACCCCTGGTATATAGGGAAAAAAACAGCCATTGACTATCTGTCAATAGACATTTTTTTTCCAACATTCCTCATAATATGTTGTATTACTGCATTAAACAGAAGAAACTGATAATTCAAAACCACTTGTGAGCGAGTAAATTTCAATTCATGTGATAAATATCCCTTTGAGCCAATTGTTTTATGTTTCATTTCCCTTTTGTGAAACAACCATCGTATCTACAACAACCTAACTACATTTCAAATCACAAAAGCATTGCTTTTTCCCTTTATTTATGCCTCTGGGAGACATTATGCTATTATTTCAAACTGTGACATATGTAGTAAAAATATCTAGACTTAAATCAATGTTTTTAGGCAGGTCTAGCTTAGGATTCGCTTTTAAAATAAACACATTGCACACTCAAGCAAAAAGAGAACATTAGGTAAACATGCAAAATTTAATTTACGAATCTTACTGTCATATGCTTACGATAAAAACAACAACTTTAGTTTGTTCTAGTTCTGCCACGCCAGTATTCTTTGTTGCACAGTATAAGTTTTCGCTGACGTGAGGTAAACATATTAGGCTTCATCTCATATCTTCCATAAGCACAATTAGTGGCTCTATGTGAAATACTTCCTTGGTGTAAGACAGGCATGAAAAAAAGGCCACCAGAGAGGCAGACAGAAAGAGTGAAGCTCCCCTACCGAGCTCATCAAAGTGTGTGTCAATGCCGTTGGGTCCTGCCACTGAGCAGATCAAACGTGTCTTCAGGAAAGAGCTCCATCTGTTTACCAGCATCCTCTGACCACCCTGGTCATTCTGACAGAGGGAAAGAGATGAAAAGGCACGTAAGCTCACCTCACCTGTGGGTGGTGCTCTTTTGCAGAAACTACATAGACAAATGTGATTGATCAGAAACATCTCCTGCTGTTTAATAACGTTTGCTCTAAACTTGCATCATGATGGTGTCATCTGTATTGACAGCTATTCTTAAAAGGTTTTATATTCTGACTAAATCCATATATATTTTAAAACATTTATATCATAATGCTTGACTAAAGAAGGTTGCTTATATTTTGTTGTATCTTTTATATTTCCCTGCCTTCGATGTTAATTGATAGTAGATAACGAGCTAAACACATTAAGCCATTTTCTTTATCTGGAGTGGGGTCATATGCTAGGTATGCACTGAAGTTTAAATTCTGGGCCGAAACCTGTTGAATCCAAAACTGCTTTGTAATAATAATTTATTATTTTAATAAGTAATAGATAATACTTTTATGAGATTTGTTTTATTTAAAACAATAGATCAAGATCAACCGATTTAAAAATTAACACAAGTCAATAAAATAAAAACATTTTATTGACTGAACAAGTTGAGAGGCATCATTTTATCAGCAATGGCATGACAGCACAGTGGCATTACTGTAAGCAGCAGGAACAAGTATACTACATAAAATGTCTCATCGGACTTATTTAAGCAGACTTTGCTTTTCTGGTAAGCATGTTGTTCATACACAACTAAGTGCATGTACATAAGCTAAATATCCACATAGTAGAACATTGTTCTATTTTGTTAATTGACCATAATGCGAGATAGTTGACGGTATGCTCCACTGCTCTTGGGATTTGGTCAGTGAAGCAACAAACTGCAGTGTAAGCCATTGAAATAAATGGGTTTCATAAAGCACCGCTTTCTGCATCTGATGTAAAAGCTGCTTCACATCCCACAGTGATTGTGGCTGGAGGGAGAGTAAAACCAGCATTGTAAACAATGAGGGGCAGTTTGGCATAGCATTGCCTTTTTTGGCTCATATTTTTGTCTGTTTTTTTTTTCTTTTAGATGAAAACAGACAAGATTATTTTCAGTCAATAATTTTTTTAGTGACCAAAAATTCAGTGCATTCCCATCATAAACGGCTTAAGCATGTAAATGCATTAACTTGCTTTTGTCTGATTATTGAGTATGCATGTGTGAGATCTGAGAGGAACACATCTTTACTGTTTTTAAGAGCATCTTAACAACAGCTTTACAGTAGAGGAGGAGAAACTATACCGCAAACTCGAACACATTTCTGACCCAAAGATGTGTTCGCATATAAAAGTGATTTTTGTAAACTGTTTTTTGCATTAGTGGGTTATTGCTGCCATGTAAACTGTGGCAAAAATGTTATTTTAAAAAAGCTGATTATTTTAGTTATTGGTGTATTGTTTAACATGCTCAATTAAGATTTTTTGGTTTTCCAGTGTTGATGAAATTGTTTTCAGGCTGAAGGTAAAATTATAAAAATATTCTAAATACTTCAGTTTCTTGCATAGATTGAACGTTTGGCTTCATAAAACCTTAATTTATCATGTGTGCTCACTTAGTCCTTTTTCACTTAGATTTAGATTAATGCTACTGAAGATAGTGAGGAATGTTCTGTTACATACTGTACTACAGCTGAATGTATGCAGAACAAAGCTAGTTTTACTTAAAGTTTTTCTGATGTGTGTTCCATACCGCACAGACTCTGGCCACTCTGGTGTAAACAGCTTTATTTCCTCCCTCAACATCGGCCACTCGCTCTGTGAAGAAGTAGTAAACCTTATCGTCAGCAGGGTCGTCATTGTCAGGGATCACCGCTGAACCCACAAACTTGGGCTCTGGGGAAAGAAAAACACAAACACAAGACATATGGTCAGAATTACAAAGAAGACTGTTTCCTACGTTCACCAAGACTACATCTGTTTGATATGATTAAGTTGTAATATTATTTTAAACTATCTTACTAGAAATTAATAAAATAAAAACTAAATAATTATGAAATCAATTGAATAAATCAATTAATGTTTGAATGAACAAAACAAATAAAATAATTATCAGTTTCTCTGGATTTATGATTACTCTAAGTATTAAAAAACTGTTAAAATGTACTTATTTCATGCTGTAAACAAGTGGTCCCCAACCCCCAGGCCATGGACCCAACTGGTACCAGGCCGCAGAAGAAATCAAAAATTATTTCAGTTTTATTTATTCTGAGCGAGAAACAGACGTCTTTCTAAAGTTTCTTTGTGAAGGGGTATAAGGCCCAATGAAGCCAAAGGTATAGATCTGCAACCCTATTGTCAAAAAAATCGGGTGAATCCATCATGTCTGTGCAAGAAGATCAACAGCTGGAGATCGCAAATGACGGCAACCATTCAAATATTTAGAAGGTGCTTGGCTTGTGCACACATGTTGGGTCTTCCAGGCACACCCAGCTGAAAACATCTTCAGAATGCTGCAAATGCACCGCGAGTCTAATGACAAGAAGGGACCAATCAGCTTCATATTCTGTATGGAATATACACATTTCAGTAGGCTAACAATTTCAGAGAATCACTGCAGTTTTTTTTTTTCTCTCTCTATAAATACAACAGCAGCAGCTTGATGGTTTCGGTTCATGATCGCCTAGCGATCTACGTATACCCACCCACCCCAATATGTGAGCAATGTGTTGAATCACCTTTCTTTTGTTTTATATTCTTTTCCAAACTTTGCATTAGTAATATATTTAGCAGATGTTTAGTTAAACATTTTCAATACACACAGGCACAGGACCACGAGGCGGGAATCAAACTTGGGTCGCCGCGAGCACCGGAGTGCATGTGTCGACGCACTAACTACTACACCACTGGTGCAGACAACATTTTTAATATTATATAATAACTACTATTAAAATCAAAGCAACATGAACTAAAGTTGCAATCAGAATTATTAAACCCCTTTTATTTTTTTTTATTTTTAAAATATTTCTAAAATGATGTTTAACAGAACAAAACAATTTTGACAATATGTCTGATAATATTTTTTCTTCAGGAGAAAGTCTTATTTGTTTTATTTCGGCAAGAATAAAAGCAGCTTTTAATTTTTTTTAAGTAACTTTAAGGTCAAAATTATTAGCCCCTTTAAGCTACATTTTTTTTTCTCAATAATCTACAGAACATTGTTATACAATAACTTGCCTAATTACGCTAACCTGACTAGTTAACCTAGTTAAGCCTTTAAAAGTCACGTAAAGCTGTATAAAAGTGTCTTGAAAATATCTAGTCAAATATTATTTACTGTCATCATGGCAAAGATAAAATAAATCAGCTATTAAGAAATGAGTTATTAAAACTATTATGTTTAGAAATGTGTTAAAAAAAATCTTTTCTTCGTTAAACAGAAATTGGGGGAAAAAAATAAACAAGAGGGCTAATCATTCAGGGGGTTTAATAATTCTGATTGCAACTCTATAATTAACATTTTATGCACAAAATACATATTCCCAATATAGTCTAACACAAACAAATCCCTTATCCCCTTAAGTTGTGTGCTCTGCATGTTGAAGGCCGCAGTGCAGCGAGTGTGAGTGGGATTAAATCTTCAGCACCCCGTGAGTCTGAAGCGATAACACTTAACAGCAGTTAACACCATTCACAACACGCAGACCTCCACCTCACACTGTCGAATACGCACAGAAAATGTACAAGTCCCCATGGAGTCGCGCTCTCTGCCCCGCATTACGCACTTGTGTGCTATCGAGCTGATGACCTCAGGATGTGATGGTATTTGACCGTGTTTTATTATGTCGGAATGGATGTGAATGGGTCTCACAGAGATTGATGGTACGTGTCATACTCCTTGCTCTTCGCTCTCTCTGAATGATTAATGCATCACAGCAGGAGCCTGAATCACACGTGACGAGTGCGAGACAACACTGTATTATTAGCATAGACTCCACATCTTACTGGAAACACACACACATTTTGCATGATGGGCAAAAACAGTTTATGAATCAGTATACAGTTTGGACTAACATGGTTACAGTGTAGCAGTTTATTGTATATCCAGTTCATAAAGCAGGATTTAGTTATTGTTTTGGCATAGTTTAAGAATGACTTTTTCAAATATAAGGTTAACAAGCACATGTATATTATTTACATATGTATAAGCTATAAACATTCATTCTTTTTTTTTTTCAGCTTAGTCCCTTTATTCAACAGGGGTCGCCATAGCAGAATAAACAACCAACTTATCTAGCATATGTTTTACACAGCGGATGACCTTCCAGCTGCAACCCAGTACTGGGAAACAACCATACACACTCATTCACACCATACACTAAGGCCAATTTAGTTTATTCAATTCACGTATACCTCAAGTCTTTGGACTGTGGGGGGGGGAACAGGAGATCCCAGAGGAAAACCACGCCAACATGGTAAGAAACATGCAAACTCTTCACAGAAATGCCAACTGACCCAGCCAGGACATGACCTAGCAACCTTCTTGCTGTGAGGCGACAGTGCTAACCACTGAGCCACCGTGTTGCCTCATTTGCTCTGTGTGCATCTGAAATTCATTCATTCATTCATTCATTCATTCATTCATTCATTCATTCATTCATCTGCTTTTCAGGGTATGGGTCACGGGGGCAGCAGTCTTAGGAGAGAACCCCACACTTTATTTGTTTTGGACGGTGAAAGCAAAATTCTCCTATGAGAGTGATAATAGCGCCTCCCGATGGTGAATGCGTTTATACTCATGGCAGGTATTATTTGGTAGTTTGGTCATTTATTTAACTAATTTGGCAACCGTCAAATGTCATCAGGGAAACGGCTTGAATTTCTGCTTAGTAAAAAAACATTAGTGTGCCATTTGGGACGACAGTACTTGTACTATGCTGTTGAGTGTGTAAGTAGAGAAGCACTTAGTGCATGAGTGCATAGTGTGCCATTTGAGACGCTGCTATAGTCCCTAAAGCGTGACCTGGATCTTGCCCCAGGCCTCCGCCCGGTGGGACATGCCTGGAACACCTCCCTAGGTAGGCGACCAGAAGGCTTGCGAAACAAATGCCCGACCCACCTCAGCTGACTTCTCTCAATGTGGAGGACCAGCGGCTCTACTTCGAGCTTCTCCCGGGTGACAGAGCTCCTCACCCTATCTATAAGGGTGTGCTCTGCCACGCTGCGAAGGAAACTCATTTCGGCCACTTGTATCCGACCATATATACAGTAAAAGGCAAATGCAATATTCAATGAGTGATGTTTAATGAAGAAATGACATGATATTCCTTTTACATCCATCTTTTTCTGGAGAAAGGTTTATTTATTTTTGTTTGGCTGGAATTAAAGTTATTTATTTAACATTTATAAAGACATTATTATTAGCTCCCATAATATTTTGGTTTTCACTTTTTTTGATATGCAAACCACTGTTGTCCAGTGACTTCCCTTATTAACCTAACTTGCATAGTTAACCTACAGTATTTACCTTATTTAAGCCTTTAAATTACACTTTAAGCTGAATACTAGTATCTTGAATAACTAGTACAATATAGATAATAATACAACAATAATACAACATGGGCACATTGTGAAAACGTAGCGCTATTTACATTTCTTAAGATGGCAAATTATGTAGTAAGAAGTAGGTATGGCTGCATTTCGTCTTGAAAACAATCGCTATTGAGTAGTATGATGCCAATCCTTTTCGCGTTCCACCAGCTGACCCCTGACCTCCATATGGCTTTCCCGCTGTTACCAGTATGTTTAGTAGCTCACCATGTATGGACTTGAAACGCAGAGATTGGTTAGGTTTAGGAAATGAAGAGGGTGGGTCAGTCTATCGGTTTGTCATTCAGTAAGTCAATCAGTCCACAACTGCCTCTAGTGGATTTACGCAAGAACAGCAGGTGAGAATGGCACTTGAGGGAGATATTTGTGCAAAAAAAAAAAAAAAAAAGTTGCGAATTTGGTGCTCTCCAAAAATGTATTAGCGGTGCGTTTTCAGAATGAGCCTGGGTTGCAATATTAAGTACTGTCATCATGGCAATTGCTAAATAAATTATAATTAGCTATGAAAAATTAATTATTAAAACTATTAGGTTCAAAAATGTGTTAAAATCTTCACTCTGTTAAACATTTGTGCAATATTTGAAAGAAAATAATTAAAGTTCACACGGCGTCTAACAATTTTGACTTTATACATATTTTAATTGTGCAAAACTTAATTTTATTTTCACTCTGTAAACTACTTATGACCTTTCTTTACAATTTACAATGCAAATGTAGTCATTTAGAACATTTATTAATTAGCTTAAAATAACCAAAAAGTAAAAACCACATTTTAAGATTTTAATATAGTTTTTAGAGAACACTACCAATGTAACAACACAATAAATGAGCATTGTCTGAGCCTTGTCATTTCGTTTTTCCAGTTCCATCCATTCAGAACGATTGGGCTTTGTGCAGGGTATAATACAGTGGCAGCAGCATTGCAGTAGGATTTCGTTCAGTCACACTGGTGTGGGTCTGATGTGTGATCTGCACCTCTGATGAGGCTTCAGTGATACGCATGTTAAAAACATCAGTCTCTGTCGTGTGCATCTGGGCTGAAGGCCAGAGCTCCTGTATGACTGCAGGAGATGATATACAGCCAAAGGGAAGCATTAAAGCAGCTCACAGCAGGGCAACACAGGCCTCCCTAAACCACACACATATGACAACCTGTGCTTCACTTTTGAATTAATGCTCCATTTTATCCATATGCACATTTATATGCACGGCCGTTTTGTAGGTAGTGACTATGTCTGAGACTTAATTGTACTAAAAGTTGTAATTTTCATATTGTCACTCTAAGTTAGATCCTACTTATTAGTGCACTTTTTAGCTGGAGTTGATTTTAAACAACAAAATGCCTTATATATTTTTTTTATTTACTTGATTTAAATGTATTTAAATTATTATTTTTACATTTTTAAAGCAGTTGCTTGTTCAGACATGTGATTAGCCGAGGATAAAAAAGGAAGACGAGCCCAGTAGAATCAGAAGAATCACATTCCTGCTATATTACAATGTAAATATTAAAACAATACATAAAACATAATAAAAAAATTAAATAAAATCTGATTAAAAAAAGAAAGGAGGAATAAAAAAAAAAACTTTTATTTTAATAAAATGTCAAACTATTAAAAAAAAAAATAAATAAAAAAAAAATAAAATACAAAAATATAAAATACAAACAAACAAACAAATGTGTCAGTTATAATTAGGAATGCCCAGATCCGATCACATGGTTTTAGACTCAATCGGAATCAGACGTTACCTCCCGATCAGGACTGGAAAATATATGTATATAAAAATATATGTCAAACTATATATATAGTCTTATTATTTTTTAACACATCTATAGTTATACGGTGGCACAGAGTTAGGCATCTTTCTTGACTTCACACAGAAACAGTAACGTGTGCGGCACAACATCACTTTGGTACAGAGATGCTATTGGTTAAATGACGGCAAAGTAGAACACGGAAACAGTATATCTGCGGTCTGAAGGTATTATAAAGTTGATGACGACAACATTGCAATATCTTACCATTGCCATAGCAAACTGTGAGATATTTACACTTGGGATCGCCTGTCTGGTATTTTAAGCTGAGGTACTATTTGTTTTTATATTAGATTTTTTTTTTTTTCTGTTGCACTAAAGTCCAAAAGTGAAGAATTTACCTCACATGATTGCTCGGTTTATTAACAGAGTTGTTGAATGTTAAAATAAGGTGAATTAAAAAAAAATAAAAATAAAGGAACATCCTGGATTAGTTTTTTTTTTTTTTCGCTATTCTTTATTAATTTTTTATGTACTACAGAAGTATTGAATCAGGTTTCGGTAGATACTCAAGATCCAAGGACCCTGACTCGAGGGCAAAAAAACCTGATCGGGACATCCCGTTATAATGTAAATTTTAGAATGTGGACGATGTGAACTTAGTTTTCCACCAAACTTGTTAGAGCTCTATTTAGCTTTTAAAAGAAAGAAAAGAATGAGCAGATAAACTATTCTCATAATAATAATAATAGTAACATCAATAAAAATGATAATAACACCAACAGCAACAATAATAATAATAATAATAATAATAATCAATAAAAATGATAATAATAAAAACAACAACAATAATAAAAATACTTCAAAATACTTTTGTTGTGATATAACTGATTTGTTTAAATTGTATAATTTGATTAAATAATATAAACAGTAACTACAAAAACAACAAAAACAAAAATAATAAACTTATTTTTATTAATATAGTGAATAAGCAAATCAAAGTTTAAATACGGTATAGTTGATTAGTTTAATTTGTATATTTTGATTAAACAATATAACTAACAGCAGCAAAAACCACTATTATTGCTATATATTAATAATAATAATAATAATAATAATAATAATAATAATATTGTGAATAAGTACTACTAAGTTCAATTATGATAAATTGTATTGGTTTAAATTGTATAATTTGATTAAATAATCAGCATAATCATAATTATCATCATAATCAAAATCAGATGTGTCTCCCCATTTTGTTATGCTTTTGTAAATGAAACGATGCATAAGAAGTTTTGTGGCTGATATAAAAAATAAAGGCTAGAATTTATTTACAAATTACCTACTTACCTTTTGGCAATGTTGTAAATTTTATATATCATTTAGGCCATCTACAAAACAACAAGTGTTTATATATATTAAGATGTTTTTCCTCTCACCGTTCAGCTGCTGTCTGTCGCCCACTTCAGTCCTGATGAAGCTGTGATTGCCTAAACGATATAGAGCGGCATCATTCTCCCAATAATCAGTGTACAGGCCCACAAACAGCTCTCCACCTGTCAATCAAATACACACACACACACAAAAAACACACCAGTATTAGAGAAGTCATTCTGTTTGTTATACACCAATTCACCACTAGGATTCACTGCAGACACTGTAAAAAAACTCTCAGTTTCAGCAGTTGGAGCAATAAATCCTGCCTTGAGTCAAGAAGTAATGATCTACAGGCCAATATCAATTTAGCTTCAAAACGCTTCGAAAAGGATCCTGATGCTGGAAGAGACTGAATAATAACCCAGAGGAACACAAACTGAAAGGAAGTCATTAGATTCATCTCTCAATTTTCCGTGATTCAGCCACAGCATCGAGTGTTATAAAAAGCTTTCATGCTCTGTGGCCTCTGGATAAAAACACTCTCTTCCTTTCAGATTTCAAGACCGCACACACACGTACATACACAAACACTGAACAGTAAGATGGTGAGGAGAAAAATAAGGACACTAAGGCATAAGAAATATTTAGCTGTACATGAAATTAGATGAAAAGTTAAAGGATATCCATTAATATTTTGTGTAAGAATGCTTAGGATATATGCTTAAAAATCTGAATGACTGGATTATTATTACTGTTATTATTCATAATAAATTATAACAAGATTATATAAAAATTATCTAAAATATTAATTTCAACATAAGAAAAATATTAAATAAATATATTATAAATAGGAGTAATTATATTCAACTGTTAAAATACTACTACTACTACTACTACTAATAATAATAATAATAATGATGATGACAACAACAAAAACAACAACAATATATAATATAAACAACAACAATGTCTACATAATAATAATAATAATAATAATAATAATAATAATAAATTAAAAAATGATGAAAAGAGGAATTTAAATAGGCATAAAGCATAATAATGCAAAATATTTGGCTTTAGGAAAGTGAAAGTATATGAAATAAATTTAAGGATGAATGACTGAAAACAAAACTTATTTATTTGTTTGTAGAGATGAACACTTACGGTAGACGGTTGATGCTAAAGGGCTGTTGGGATGAAATGGGACTCTTCCTCTGCCACTCTCTATGTGGTCAGACTCCAACCTGAACTCTCGCTCCTGCTGTAAAGCACATAAAACACACCTTTACCACAATGTGACAATAATAATAGTAATAATAATAATAATACAGTTTAGGAATACTGTTAGTAAATATTGTTATTATTGTAATAATAATAATAATAGTAATTATTATTATTATTAATATTATTCCAGTTATCAAATAAATTGAACAAATTGATTATTATTAAAAAAAATTGTAAACATTAAAATCACATGCATTGATTTTATAACAACTATTATTATTCAAATTGAATACTTTGCTGGTGACCAGAGTATTTAAAGTGAAGAAAACGTCACTTTTGAAAAGTATAGCTATGTCAGTTGTTGATTAATAATTATTATTGTTTTTATTGTTGATTTTATTATTGTGGAAACACATTTTCAAAAGTTTGAGGTCAGTTTGATTAGTCAAAGGAATAGAGTATTATTAAATGTGTAAACATTAATCATAATTGTTGATTTAAGAATAACAGTAATACTTATTATTATTATTATTAAATAAATTTGATAAATTGATTTATGGAATATTTGTATTATGATTTCAATTTGTATTACGTTACTGATTCAATAATAATAATAATTATTATTATTATATTTATTGTTATTCACATTAAAATTATAATGAAATAAATTAAACAAACGGATTATTCGAAAAAAATATTTGTAAACATTAATCACAATTATTGATTTAATAATAATAATAATAATAATAATAATAATAATAATAATAATAAAACTAGTAATAATTATTATTATTATCATCATCCTCATCCTAATAAATAGTTGTTGTTATTATTAGGAATATTAAATCAATTATTGTGATGAATGATTGCAAATATTTTATTAATAATCTATTAATTCGATTAATCAAACTTCAAATTTTTGAAAATGTGTTTCCACAATAATAAAAACTATACTTTTCAAAAGTTATTCTTCCCTCGTGAAGTTTTCTCCACTTTAAATACCATCTGGTGACCAGCACATTTTGTGCTTTTCCCATTTGTCACCAGTATGAGATGCTGATAAACTGGTGTCACATTTACTTTCCTAAAACCAGCAAGAGAAAGATTCTTTTCGACCACCTCCAGCAGATTTACTGGTGAACAGCAGAACAGTCATGCTGGTTTAAGCTGGTATTTTCAGCAGGGTAGACCAAACAGAAATCTGACACTGCAAAAATCTGCAGTTCTTAGAAAAAAAAATAAGGGGAATAATCAATCAGCCCTCTGGCGAATTGTATCATTGAGCATCATGTAGTAACACATCAGTATCAGTGTATATTACAGTGGCTTTTCATCATTAGACACACACTGCATTTCCTGCGGTCTCAAGGGAAATAAAACATCCAGGTGAAGCAACGGAGGGTAAAATGAGATTCAAGGCCATGAAAAGCTCTTTGAACAATCACTTTCTCTCTGCTCTCACAACACGAGTCGCTTTTACCAGAAGATGACAGTACATACTACGCAAAATGTATCGCAAAACCCTTTCACTAGCTTGATTTGTGTCTTCTCACAGCATGTGATCCCTAGAGAAACAAACACCGGTCCATCCATCACTTTCAGTCTATGGATCATTCAGTAGGGTTGGCGTTTTTCCATATCATTCATGCCTCTAACTTCATATGAAACGGGAATGGAAATAAATCCTCAGCTGAAGCCATAACTTCAGTTTCACTTTATGAAGCGTGCTGTTACATGGGAGAATTATGGGGATAAATCATAAAGGCTGGCTGTGGCGCATGCCGTAAGGTCCTTTATAAACCCACAAATCTTCCTTCAAGTCTTAAGGTTATCTACTGTATAAGCGAGTGCGCTCCAATACAAAATTTTCATCTAGAAGTAAGGATGCACCGATATGGCCGAACCCCAAAATTCTGGATGCACCTAAACGCTTTGTAATAACTATATATCATTTAAAAAAAAAACAAGCCAATAAACTATCCTCATTGATACTAAACTGCATTGACAGTTTGTGAATGAGTTAAGACTAGAACTGTTATTTTATCAGCATAGTAGTGCTATTGCAGGCAACAGGAAAAAGCATATTGCATAGAAATTTCCTGTCGACATGTTATTTGAATGACTTTGGTTTTCCAGTGAGCATGTGCTGATCATGCATGTTTATGGGTACAGCCGTTCTGTGCCAGACGACACATGGAGACAGTGACTATGTTTACATGGACATCAGCAATAATTGGCCTTAATCTGAATAAGACATTAACATGATTAAGGTGTTCATATGAGTTGCTTTTTGAATGTTCCTTTCATGATCCTGTTTTACATGTTGAAGCACATAATTCAATCGTCATTGCGTCACCACGTGATCCACATTTCCTCCAAAGTTTCATGTAGTGTAGGGTATTTCACTTTTAATTTGTTGACTTTAATTGCAGTTTGGCACTTTCATTTTTATTCAAAAATATGTCTTGTATTCATCTGTGACAAACAATATATTGGATGCGAGTATGAACTGCTGGAAGAGTGCTGTTTTAATGGAATTTGATGCCACACGCAGTATGGTGAAAAAAACTCTGCCTTTCTTGATGCAGGTGTCTGTGGTCCTTCACCAACATGGCAGGTGCAGAGAATAGTGTCAAACAGTCATGTTTGTAAAGACTATCCTGTCGCAAAATGTGGCACAAATTCGACACATCAGTAATAGTTTGATTAGGGTATTTACATATCCGTACTGCACTTCAGTAATGCGACTAAAGTCTGCATACTCCACATGTTTTAATTCGATTTCTGTTTAGTTCGATTATAACCTTAATCAGACTAAATTAATCAGAAATAGCTGTTTACATGGTAGACCTTTAATCAGAGTATTGTCTTAATCACATTAAAATGATCGATTATTGGTTATTATTGGTGAAAATTACAGATTATTAATGTCGATATAAACTTACTCAATAAAACCAATTAGAAGATATGAAGATGGGTAGAAGGACATTATGGACAGTGGCCAGAGAGTACATTTGGAAAGGATGCTGTGGATATACTACTACTCTTATATCTTGCACAGATATCTTTAGAAGAACTTCTATAGACATAACGATCTTTATTGTACAACCCACACCTGTCAACTCTCCCATGTCTCCAGGAATTCCCTTTTATTTAACCATCCTATCCTGCTTTAATCCCGTTACACTTTTAATCTATGAAAGGCAACATCTCAAATGTGTTAAAAAAACTGCAAGAGAATTGTGCTTCTGTTTTATTAGTGCTTGAAAGCACTTTAAAATAAATGTAAAAATAGCAGCATTCCCTACACTACTTTTTTTGTTTGTTTTTTAAGAAGAGAAACACATACACAGGTTCAACATTGCTGTTATAGACTGGCTGGCATGAATTAGATGCATTTTAGCTCAGAAACTCTAGCAGAGGTGCTAAAAATACTATAGGTTGTTTTTCTGTGACGTCATTGATGACGCACACAATTCAGACGGAGGGCAGGAAGTGTTTCTTCTATGTAGGAATCGCTGTCAGAACATCTAAATGTTTTTGTTTTATGTTGTTTATAGCGGTTTAAATCAGCCAAATTAAGAAATGCTGAACAGCTTTATAGATTTCCAAAAGGTTTTGCTCATAAAGAAAAAACTGGCTGAAAAATGGAAGAAAAGGTGGCATGAAACTAACATTTATTCAATACATCCATGTGTCCAAACTTTTTTTGAATGCAATAATTCGTTGGACGCACTAATAAAGATTACAAGCCTAGCTATTTGTATTATATGTTGTAAGACTTGAAGCTTACGCTGCTATTTTGAACCAATAGTCGGAAACAGAAAGCAGTTGAAGGAGGCATGTTAAAATCCATTGTTAAAGTTGTTATTATCATTGATAAAGAGAAAGAATCTCAAAGCTTAAAGCAGGCAAAGTTGTTTATTAAGTTACATGTTTAAATATCTAGAAGGTAATATGAAACAAACTAACATACTGAATAAAGAAATTAGCTGTAACATATGCACTGCTGAGCAACAAAGACAGTGAAACTGCCTTTGTTAGCATATGAGGCTACGCACCGGTGTGCGGGAGACGCAGAGTAAAAGCCATTCTCCCAGATCAACATCTACCTGAGCAAAGCATTGTCAAAGCATTGTCAAACATAAGTGAAAACCAACCCCCAAAACCAGCTGACCATGAGAGCAAAGTTGAGGAGATAAAGTGGCATCTATCAATGTCTCTGTTGATTTCATCACTACAAAGCTGAAGTCATAAACTGTCAAATGAAACCAAACATGACAAAGTTATATGAAGGAAGAACACAAGCAGATCAATTGTGTATGGAAAAAAGCACATGGTTACTGTAAGCAAATGACAAGAGATGTGTATTGGAGCTGTGAGGAACTCCACACCAGGAGGACCCATCCCATGCTTGGAATGTCTCAGTAGCATAGATGGAATAGTATATAATATTTTCTCAGCTTACATATGTTAATGTGTCATATAAAAATTAGATACAAACATCACCACCCTTATACAAAATCCAAGAAAATATAAATAACATACCCTGCCTTCGCTGCAATGAAATCTCTGTCTTTTTTGCAGCTGGCATTTTGGTGGAATAAACAACTGTAACGTTAACATCTATATGCACAGCAGTGAATGTTTGTTGATAGTAAGCTCATCAACCGAACAAAAAAGCAACCCTTGTGTCAAAACTAGACATTATTATTGTAGAGCACTTTTCCCCCTTACAAAACTAAATAAATAATAATGTAGACTGTGTGTCTGCGCTTTTGAATGGTTTCATCTGTTATTTTGTGATGTCGGGAAGATATCTGCAAGGGGAAAAACGTAGTAATTTATAATAAACATGTTTTTGAACCACAGAGTAAAGTGTATAATGTAAACATCTCCTTTGAAAATATAGCATTAATCGCAAAAATAGGAACTTTCCGCCATGTCATGCATCACCAGAACCATGTGATTAGACTGCCCTGTCTTCATCTTCAAAATAGAGTTTGTCACACATCGAAGAAATCTGCGTATTTCTAG